AAAAAAAAAAAAGTCCCACAAAAAGCAAAACACTTGAGGATGATGGCAGCTTCAAGCTGATGATTCTTGCAGCAGCTGGACTTCCTACAGACCACAGTGCACTTATAGCCAGTGGGAACAATCAGTGATGTAACAGCACAAGTTCAAATACAACTCGTCCTTGATTAATAAGCGCTGCTACTAATGGTGTTCGATTGTGCTCTTACAACATCACGAGTACTGTTATCAACTACGACCGACAGTCCTAACCCTCGGGCTGAAGACCTCTTCGAGATGAAGGTCACTACCTGGAACGGCGATCTTTTCTGTTCTTGTCTAGGCTTTTGTCCATGGTCTTTTCGTTGTCCCCTCTGCATTTGGGGCAGTACCACTTGCCCTTGGGCTTGTAGGTCAGGCCCACACAGGAGAAGTGGAACCACTCAATAGGGCACTGGTCGTTGTCACAGCCAATCATCTCGCCATAAGACACCTGCTCACAGAGACAGTAGGTGGGCTCATTGGGGTCGATGGCGAATTCTACCGGCGAGGCGTCCCGTTCCTGTTTGGACTTGCGCTTCTTCTTCTTAGCAGACTTGGACTTCTTTTCCCGGGGAGGAGGGATGGACAGCTCCTCCGAAGCGTCATCCACCATAGACCCGTTGGCCGACGGGTGGCTGGAGTCACGGCTCTCGCTGTTGCGCTGGCGCCGTGGGCGCCGGGTTGAAGTGCGCTCAGGGGCAGGGGGCTCTTGGACACTGGAGCGGCGCTCTGTGGTGAGCCGCTCTGCCTCGCTGGGCTCCTGGAGGCACAGGGAGTGGGAGTCCATTTGGCGGGAGCGGTTCTCCACCAGCTCCGTCATCTGGGTCACCACATGGATCTTCTCGTCACCAAGCTCCTGGCTGATGATGAGCGCCCGCTGCAGCTGGATCTGCAGGCGCTTCCTCTGAGCTGCATCCTGCTCACCTTTGTACTTCTCAAACACTTCATCCACCTCCTTCAGCACCTCTGCAGAGAACAGCACACACAGACACATTAATGAAACTGAGCATCTGGTCATGTCATTATCAGTATGAGCTGCCTTAATAATTCTCACTGCTATTTGTAAAACTGTTGGAAAAAAAAAATTCAAAATTACCATTTAATCTCTTTTCTTTTCTTTTTTTTTTTTTATTAGTGACTTAGCATAACAAAAACAAGTGTGACACAAAGGGTTCATATAATGGACAAACATGTAAATGACAAGAAAAAAAAGTTATTCAGAGATATTGAAAATAAAAAAATATGATGTGTATGGTATGTGTAGTTTTTGAGGTTTATATTTGATGTTTTCGTATGTATGACAATGATGATGTTATAATAGTAGTATAGTAATATAATGATAAGGAAAATGTAATAAAAATAAAATAATTTTAAAAAACAAAATATATAATAATAATTTATATGATATCCTGTCAATA